CTCTCTGCAGGGCTGCTCTCCAGCCTCTCTTGTATGTGATGACAAAACATATGTGTTGGACACTCTTTTTGGACTGAGTGTTGTGGTGTTCAAAGCTATATACTCTGTAACAGGCAGTACCTTGTCAAGAAGATTTGCAAGCAGGGGTCATTTACATTTTACATAGAAATAAAGAAGCATGCTGTAGTATGACATCTTAAACTAAATGTATAAAACAGATTAAAGAAATGCAAGTGAAGACAGCAAAAGTTTCCATTTGAACCATATTTTATTGAGTGAAATTTATTTTTACAGTGTATATTTATTTTTTAATTTGATACAATCTAGTGTAGGTTTAAAAAGACAGATCTAATGATTCAAAACCTGACTGGCTCTGAATTGTGTGGAGTTAACAGAATTAATTGCTTTGTTGTTAGGAGTTGGCAGGACGATGGAATCTAAGCTGGCTTCTTTGGGAATTAAAACCTGTGGAGATCTGCAGTGTGCTTCAATGTCAAAACTGCAAAAAGAATTTGGTCCAAAAACAGGACAAATGCTGTACAGATTTTGTCGTGGTTTGGATGATCGACCTGTACGTACAGAAAAAGAAAGAAAATCTGTTTCAGCAGAAATCAACTATGGAATAAGGTTTACACAGGTAATTTCAAACTTACTTTCTTTTCTGCAGTGACTTCTTTCAGCTGTAGAAGAATCTTCTCATATTCTGATTATTTTCACTTACACTTTGATCTGTTAGAGCACCATCTTAGCCACCAAATAGAAATGAGGAAAATGAAGAAGAAGGAGACCAAACGATAAAATGAGATGAGAGACTGCAAAAGTATTGGACTGAAAAGAAGGTTGCACAAAATTAGCTGGCTATTCTGCGTTTGTTATGCAAGTCTGGTACAGAAAAAGAGAACTGCAGTAGGTTTGTCAGCACCTAGCATTCTCTTTCATTTAAATGCTGGCTATTCAAAGATGCCAAGGCCTGAAACCATCACCAACTGCTCCAGTACAATATTTTTATTAGACTTTTTACAAATATTGTAGGAGGAGGGAGTGTTGTTGACAAAATTGTGTTAAAAAATAACTCACCTCTTTGTTGATAACTTAAGCATTTATAGAAATTTTAGAAAAATCAGGTTAGGAGCGACCTCATGATGTTGCGTAGTCCAGCCTTTTGCTCAAAGCAGGGAAACAGATCAGACCAGTTGCTACGGACTTTATCCAGTCTGGTGTTGGAAGCCTCCAAGAATGAAGATGGCACAACTTCTCTGAGCAACATGTTCCACTGCTTGACTTGCCTTGTGGTGAAAAAAATTTTCCTTGCAAGCCCTACACTCTTCATCTTCTAGGTGTGTGCCTAAAGTTAGACTTGCAATTCTGTGTTGGAGTTTCTAAATCCATTTAAAAAAATCCCCAAAACTTAATTCCGAAAGGACTTAGTATTTCCTACTTATTTCAGCATTAGGATAGAAATCTACCTTCTCACGTAACTTCAGCGACCTACAGTGTAAACGAAACACTTGAAGTTAAATAAGACTAAATAAGCTGACCTATGAGTCCACTTGCTCTTTTTAGTTTACACAGTATGGGTTGTATTAACCCTTAATGATTTACCTTCAGTATTTGAAAACTAGTAATTATCTAAACATGTTGTTTTTCCCCTTCAGCCTAAGGAAGCAGAGGCTTTTCTTCTGAGCCTCTCAGAAGAAATCCAACGTAGACTTGAAGCTGCTGGTATGAAGGGTAAACGATTGACCCTTAAAATTATGGTCAGAAAGGCTGGGGCACCAGTGGAGCCTGCAAAATACGGAGGTCATGGAATCTGTGATAATATTGCCAGGTAACTATGCATGGAAAAATGAGTTGTCAGTAGTAAGCACGAGCACACTGCTGTAGGATGTTGAGCACCAAAACTTAGAGGAAGACAGGACAGAAATTTTTAAGTGCTTGGTACCTCTGTCTACGTATCAAATTTGCACCAAAATCAGAAGTAGAATATTATTATCAAAAGTCTTCTGTGTTTGGGTTGTACATGCGTGGTCTTTTGGTCATCTGCATGGAATGGAAATCCCTCAGTGATGAAAAAACTCAGCATATTGGGAGGAGAAAGAAGGAAGAGACTAAGGTGTCCAAATCAGAAAGAGAGAAAAATTTTAACAGTCATCTTTTGCCTTTGAGTTTCTTCAAAAAGAAAAATGGGAAAGAAAGAAAATACATCAGAAGTTGAAAAGTTTTGGGGCATAGAAGAAGCAATTTGTGGTTTTCAGAGGAAGCAGGAATGGGAAGGAATCTGACTCCACAAGTGCATTCTTTGTGGTTTTAAATTGCTTTCTTGAAAGAATGTACACTTTTGTGTCTGTGGATGCTACTTAAAAATTAAAATGATTTAATGAAATATTTTCAATGAATTATTGTGACTATCCATTTCTCTTGGTGGGGAGGCACATTTTTTTCTGTTACTCCTTTTTGACTTTAATAATCTGGAGTTTAAGGTTGCTCTTAATTTTATAATAATCTCATTAAATACTAGCTAAAAAAAGATGTTTCATCTTTTAAAGGGTTTGTCTTCAAACAGTAATACTTATGTACATGTATATTGTTGGTGTATATTTCTCCATCTCGCTCAATATTGGAGCTGGTTTTCCTTTTGTAGTACTTGCAGAAGAGATATTTACATCCCGCACTGCATGATGACATGCATGCAGCAGCATTTTTATTTCTTTCAGTGACCAGCTGAGTTGAAATCTTCTGCTGCTACGAACTGTTTCCTCTCTCTGAGCTGTGTAGTGCTGGGTAGTTTCTTTTTTCTCAAGGAGCTTTCTGCTGTTCCTTGATAGGTTGTTGGTCACATGCTGATTGTGACAGTTGGAGTCAGTTCTTAAAGAAAGTTGCCTTGGTACTTGTCAAGAAGGTTGTCTGATCAGTACTGTTCTCCTTCAAGTCTAGAGCGCATGGGGACTAGGGCAGTATTTGCAGAATTACTTGCTACAGAAGACTGAAAGACCACCTTGGATTCTGAAGGTTGGAGCTGGCATCAGACACTTTGGACTGCAGTTTTCCGTCTTAGTACAGTCAGGTTTCTTTGTGTTGAATCTGTCTTTCCTGTTGTTTCACCAGTAAGTCTGCAGAGAATTTTTTTGGTCCTAGAAGAGAAAAGCCAATGAAGATCCAAAGTGGAGCTAAGAAAGTTGAATCTCAAGGTCAGGGACTGTGCCTGAGCTGTTCAAGAATGCAACTTGTTCATGTCTCTTGACTTTCACAGTTATGTTTTATCATATAATCATATGTTCCTAATCAGACATGCTTTTGTTTTCTTATGGATCATTATTAATTATAAAGTCTCTTTCTACTCGGTCTCACTGCAGCACTGTTGATCTCATTGAGATGCTACCTGTGGTGGCTGCCCATCCCTAGTGAAATGTGATAACCCAGTTACTCTGCCTAGGTCATCAGTTGATAGGACACTGCTAAAGGAGTAGGACCTTCAGCTTCCACAAGCAGTGCTCTTATGCGCTATTTATTTCTGATTCTTCTTTGTTTCCTATTGGTCAGCTGGATGATGTTGACTAAAGATTATTTTCTCTCAGATTTATTTCTATGCTTGCATGCTGAGAATACAAGAATGAAATCTAGACATAGAGCATCATGTAGTTCCTTGCTATTTCATACAAGATTGTCTCAGAACCTTCTACATACGTGTTTATTCTTCAGGCAGACACTTCTGTATCAAAGCAGTTGTTCCTTAGGGGGATGATCCTGGGTTTTGTATGAGGGTGCACTTGGCATTTTCAAAGATAGGTCTTTTCTACTTTTCCCTCCATCTCAGGTTATTGTAACAGATGAATCCCTCCTGAACTGAAGGGTTATTTGCTCAGGGTTGCTGATAATGGAAGAGGCAGGGGTGTTCTTTCAGTGGGTTAGAGCTCAACAGTAGGACTTGCATGCGTAGGGTCTGTCTCATACTTGTGAGCTTGTGACATACAATTCAGACATATTAAAAACTGAAACTACAAATTTCACCTTTCATTATCAGAAGCTCATCGCCTTTTGGGATTGGTATATCAAGAAGAAAATCCATCAGTCGGTAGTTTTGTCTTCTGGCTGTCCTGAATTCTTTGAGTGGAAGATTTACTTTTAACAGCCTAAGCACATATTTTTAGTGTTGAGGTTGTGTTAAGGCAGAGATTTATTCTGCCTTTATTGGAACTGGTGTCGGAGTGCTTTCTCATTAACAGGTCAATGCTTTGGACCTCGTTTCTGTGGTCAGGCATGCTAATGTACACGTGCCCTGAAATTTCCCTAATTCCTAAAGTCGTATTAAGGTAAGATGAGGGAACACACAAGGATGCTAAGTTGTTCGCACGCAGCTGAAGCAGTTCTGATGCCAGGATCTTGTTTGGCAATGTCTCTGTTTCTGCTTCTGGCTTTATGAATGAACTTGGCAACCCCAGTTAATCCAAATTATGCTATTTGATTATCTAGATGCTGTATTCCTGCCTTTGTTAGAGCATTTCTGTTCAGTCCAGGGAATGGCATTTCAGCAGCAGCGTGGTAAAATCTGGAAATTGCATCCAGGCAAATGGATTATAATCTCAGAGTGGTGTTCCTTCAAGTGTGCTTTCCCTATGTACAGCCTAGTTCCCGCAGTTTGGGATTATTTATTGGAGCTAAAAGTGACCTGTTTCTCTCTTCAGTTTAAGATTTTCTCTGTAGCTTTAGCTCATGACCCATTTCTTGTCCCCTCACGTCACAGGTGAATTGAGTTGCTACGCTTTCTCATTCTACAGGTCAAGATTCCCTAGAATGATAATCGTAGTCCTGCAAAGTATTCAGACTCTCAGACACGTTTAAAATCAGCTTCAACTTCTGAATGGTATTTTTACTGCATCATTGATACCAAGTCCTGATAGTACAGCATAGACCTTTGTACAATAGTCTTCTGAAGTGATGTGTACCTTTAGACCCATTCTGCATTTCTCTGTAATACTTTGCATAGTTGCATCTTAATGATGATATTGATGTCCTTTATCTTCAAAATGTTAAGATGTAAGGCTCAGGGGGTCTTCATATCATTCACAGCAGGAAGGTTTTTCCTTTTCATATTGGTGGAACCAGACCTTCCTGGAGATCACTTGGCTGTTCATCATGGTTTCTGACAGATTCAAAAGTAGAGTCAAATTTAAGGAGACACCATCAAAGCGTTTAGTAAGTTGTCAGGATGGCACCCTGTCAAAACACCAAGGTGCAACTTCATTTTGTCCATAGAGCCCAATACCTCAGAGTTAAAACTGCTTTGGTTACTTAAATGAGAAGACTTTAAATCAATCACATACATTTCATTAGTCACCTGAAATTCTGTCCTTATCTGTCTTAACTGTTAGGCCATTAGAGAAGCCAGAACTACCAAGCACTACTACTGCCCTGCCAAGCTCTCAGGTGGCAATTTGTAAAACTCACAACCAGGTAATTTTGTGAGAGTTCTTGCAGAAAATTGCCCACAGTGTAAAATGTGTACTTGGAATGTTGTTTAAAGTTATTTACCATTAATCCAAGTTCTTTGTTATTTCTAATCCACATGCACATACCTGTATCTGCTTCTCCCTCAGAGTTCCTTCTGAATCTCTTGCTTTGAACATATGACAATTGACAACTGAAATAATACTGAGCAAACTCTTTAGGAACCAAGTTTGAGTGAAGGGTAATGCATGAGTACATTTCTGAATACAGTAAAGTGAAATGCTTTTGGCTTCTGTAGATAACATGTATATAAATATATATACTGTATTTGACAGTTTAACCTGTGGACAACACACTGAGAATGTTCAATTAGTAAATAATCTCCTTTTTTTTTCTGTAGAACATGCTTAGTTCTGATTACCTTTAAAAAGAAACCATAGACCAAAAAAACCAGTGTTTAGTATCTGTACGCCAAGAAATTATGATCTGTCATTCTTTGAGGTCCTCTCTGGAATAAATACAGAATTGTTGTCTTTAGGATTTGTGAAACGGTTTCCTTTTTAACTACTTCTTTGTTCTTTGTAGGACTGTAACTCTAGACCATGCAACAGACAGTGCAAAAGTAATTGGGAAAGAAACTCTAAACATGTTTCACACAATGAAACTGAATATATCAGATATGCGAGGGGTGAGTCAACAAGAAAACTGAAATTTATTCTTTTTACCAGCCTTCTTTATTGTCTTTCATAATTTTTTGGTTCTCCAGGACATATGATAACCAAACTTAAGCAAAAGTGTAGATAATACAAAACTTGGGTAAATTATGCTATGCAATCATATTATGTTTTGTATGTTTATGTCTGAAAAACATGGTTAAAAAGCCATAAATGTAAAAAAAAGAAAATTGTATTGTGGTATGGATTAATCCACAACTTAAAACAGTCTTAGACTGTGTCTTCTGCACTTCTATTAGCACGTGTCAATTTTATTTTGTCTTAGAATTTTCTGTAAACTTTTGCACAGTTGTTAGTTAAGTAACTCATATCAATACTGCTTGTAATGCCAATCAGAGATACAGATCAGAGGAGTTTTTGCTCTAGACTACAAGTCGTAGAGACAGAAAAGTTACCAGCCCATGATTTGGCCTTAGTTTGAAGGTGAATTGCTGTCTCTTTTGAATCATGGTTTATTTTAGAACACTTGCTCACCTCAGTGGTTTTGTCATAGCAGTGTGAACCCATGATAAGACTATTTTGGCATCAACCATTTGTTACACAGGGGCTTTCTAAAACAAACCTGCATTTATTGGTCATCTAGATGTAGCAGTAGGGTTTTTATTCACAATGTGGCCTTGCAAAGTCAACTCCATGGCTTCGATTTCTTCTTAAGAGTTGATGAAATATTTATTGTCCTCTCCCTGTCAATATTTATTGTCCTCTCCCTGCCTTTTTCTAGTTTCTTGTCTGCCTCCTTTGCTATCTTTCCTGACTTTTTGCATCATTCTATTTCACTCAGTTTCCTTAGCCTTTGTTTAGAGGATTCTTCTTTACAGTGTAGTATTCAGTGGGTGGTGTACAAGCTATTTTGCAAAACAATGTACTACTTCTGCCCAGGTGGCTCAGTTCAGTTCTGGAGGGGCCATTCAGTTCTAGATGATATAATAAAGTGCAGATATATCCAAGGTCCCTCAGTGGTATTCCTTTCAACTGACTTAAGGCGCTTCCAATGTATATGTCTATATTGGAGCTAGTCCCCTTAAGCTTCACTTATACGTGAGATGAGTGATGCTTTAAAGTGTCCTTTTTCTCTCAGCATCTGGAAGAATCTGGTCCTGAAGTGATACCCGTAGCTGTTCATGCCCACGCTTGGGCAGATGAAGCCACTCACTTGTCCTGTAGACTTCACGTAGCACTTTAACTCAGACGCTTTTCCTAAAATGCAAAAAAACCCAAGGCAGAGTTGTTGTAGTTGTACAGCACAGCAAAGACAGTATTCCAAAGGCTTCTTTTGATTTCTAGAACTCAAATCTAGAAGTATTTCAAAGCAAAAAGATAAAGTGCAGAGAAAAACTTTTTACAATGATGTTTTAATACTCCGTTAATTGCAACTAAGAAACTGTTAATAAACAAAATCCTTGCTATGTAATTATAGAAGAGCTGGTGGAAATACATACAGTAGCTCCTTCACGCTTTCTGAGTCCTGGATACAATTTTTTTTTAAGTGTCGGGTTTTTTCTTCATAATTATGGGGGATTATCAGTAAACTTGCACAATGTACCAGTGCATTCTTAGTGGGATATGGGTTTTGAACCCCTGTTGATTTGGTATTTAAACATTAATGAAAAGTGAAGATGTCTTTCAAAATGAGAAACACCTCATCTGATAAAGCCTGCTTTCACCGAAGTACTTTCACCCATTGAGACTTTGCGAGAACCATGTCTAGAAGTGAAATAACATTATTTTCCTCATTTGTAGACTGAAATTATGGATTTATTATAGATTGTCCTCAGGAAAAATATTCCTTTCTTGTATGGGTAGCCAGATTTAATACCAATCACTTCCTGGTCAGTACTTCTATATTTGTGAGTGTCTAAGAAGTTTCATAATAAACTCATTGTTAGATGATCCTATTGATAGCACTTTTCTATATCAGAGAAGTTAAGTATTATCTTTGTAATTTCTTAGTTGTTTGGTTGTGGCGGATAATTCTGGGATTTGTTTGGGATGTTTTTAGTGGCTATTTATGTGTATTTCAACATACTTTTATTTGTTCTCTCTCCCACCCACAACAGGCAGCCAGTTTCAGAGAAGGCAATGCTATTATGAAATAATTACAGTTTGTTTTTCTTTTAAAAACTTCATAAAATGAATGTATTATTGTTTTGGATTTAGGTTGGAATTCAGGTACAGCAGTTAGTTCCCATCAGTAAAACCACTTCAGCTCACTCAGCAGTACAATCTGGACACTTACCTGGTGGATCGCATTCGGTTATTGATCTTTTTCATGTTCAGAAAGCTAAAAAATGCTCGGAAGAAGAACATAAGGAAGGTCAGTAAGCTTTGTACTTTGCATGTGTGATAATGATCAGTTCTGAAGGACTCCAAAGTAGATTGTTTTGTAATACTTACTCGATACTGTACCAGTACAAATTATTTAACATAAGCTCTTTAAGAGTGAGTTTTGCTGCTGCGAATGAAAATGCTACAAATAAAACTTTGTCTAGGATTATTCCAATCTTTTTAAAAAGTTTATAGTAACAAAGGATACTTCGAAATAGAAAGTGCTATAATTATCCTGTATATTATATAAACTATTTAGTAAAGAAAACTGGAAATTTGCTTTACTGTATCTTGAATCTTCAGAGTATTTTTAACTATTAGATGATCATTCTGTATTTTGTTTTAACATGTATAGTATTTGTGGCTGCTATGGACCTTGAAATATCTTCTGATTCAAGAACTTGCACTTTTCTTCCATCTCGTGGTACCCATCTCGCATCTGGTCTCAATTCTAATGTTAACAACACTGAGTCTGCTGTCAAATGCAATGGTGTGCATTCTCCTATCGGCATGAAATCCAGGCTTAATTTGAGTATTGAAGTTCCAACTGCTTCCCAGGTAAAACCTGAGAATGTAATACTTCTGCAGTATATTGTAATAACTTGGAATAATTTGTCTTATTTGGATAGAGCAAAAAAAGTTACTTTACACTTTTTTTGAATAAAAAGAGCTCTAGTGGAATACAGTGCACAGTAAGAAACTGTTATTGATACAAAACTATTTTGCCTTAATAAAATGATTTTTTAAAAGCAGTTATTTATAGGCTAACTCAAAAAATATTATATTTATTCAAAGGAAAGACATTTAATTTTCCAGTATATTTTTCCTTTCCCATCACTTGCCAGAGGATGGCAGTGGAACAGGAATAGAAAAGATGCCAAGGATGACACATTAAAAAACATTACCTTCCACTTTTCAAAATCAAAGCCCAGAGCCTGCTTATAAAAAACACGTAATGAACTTTAGGAAGACTTCCATCAGAAAAATTAGACACATTCTATAATTAATGCTCAGGATTTATGTGACTATGATGTGATGCAGATTTGTAAATTCCCTTATGTTAGCTCTTTAAAATTATTTCTGATTACCTTACTTGCTGCTGAGTGGCTCAAGAAGAATTTTGACAAGTATTTTGTGTCACTCTCATGAGGACAAAACTTTTCAGTGTTTCCTTTCCTAACTGTGGCAGCAATATTCTTTGCCACAGATGCCAATAAATGATGATCAGGTAGTTTTCTCCACATAATTTCTTAAAGTCATGTGATCTATACCAGACTTTAAATTACACAATAAATCTGTATTCAGGCTTTAGTCAGTGAGAAGGAACTGAACAGCAACTAGTCTTACAGTACCTCGTATGCTTTTACCATGTTTGTGCTCTAAGCTTCTGCCTAAAAGAATGTCAACCTTATTTCTATTTATTCATCTTCCTGGGGTTTTCTTCAAATTTTCTTGAGATAATATTGAAGCTAAGATGCACACAACATTTCTACAGGATATCACCTTTTAGATGAGAGGAGGACAATCTTTGTTTAGTTAAAATACTTCTGTGGGGGAGGTTTTGTGTGTTTTAGCAAAGGAAGAGCCCCACGTTGTTCAAGCAGACATCCGTTAGAAGGGTCTGCTATGAGCAAGCTGCACTGAATTCTGTAGGTATTTTAAGTATAAGCAGATCTACACACTTTCTGTAAAAATCTGTAATTTTAATTTCTGTAATTTAAATCTGTAAAAGCCTTTGTTGATGCTCTGCTAACAGCTTTCCCAAATATTTATACATTTTTAGAAGCAAAGTATGCTTTTGGCAGAAAACCTTTTTCTGTAATGCAATACCCAAGCTGTCTCAGGATCTAAAAGCAACTTGACTGAATGTGAAGCTCCATATACTCAGATTCTGCTTGTGGTAATTTAACTTGACTGGCAGCTAAACACCATAGAGCTGCTTGCTCACTCTTCCTCCACCAAGGAACAGGGCAGAGAATTGGCGGGATAAAGGTTAGGAGGCTCATAGGTTGAAATAAGAACAATTTAGTAAATGAAATTAAATAAATAATAAATGATAAATAATACATAATAAAAAAATAATAATGGTAATAATAGTAATAATAAAACATACAAATGAGCGATGCACAGTGCAGTTGCTCACCACCCACTGACCAATGCCCAGCCCACTCCTGGATAATGATCCCAGAGGAGCAACAATCCTGAAACCAAAACTGAAATCACAGAAGAGAGAGCCCCAGCCTTCCAGTGGATCCTCATTAATATACACTGAACATGATGTTATATGATATGGAATATCCTGCTGGCATATCCAAATGCCAATTTGGGTTTGCTAATTTTCTAATCCTGCCCCCAGTCCTCTGCACCTGCAGACTAACAAAACATGGGGAAGTTGGAAAGTCCTTGGTCTTCCAGTAACAACTAAAAACACTAGTATGTTAGCAATGCTTTTCTCATAACAAATCCAATACTGAAACCAAAACACAGCACTGTTCTAGCCACTAAAGAAAATTAGCTCTGTCCCAGCCAGAAATCAGGACATTGCTTTAGGGGGAATATGTATTAACAAGTGAAAAATGCACTAGCTGTGCAGTAGAGTTCCTAAAGCTTTAGTGGCCTTATGGTGCAATATGCTCATCTTTCCTTCTGCTTTATAACCATATTGTAATACGGAATATATTGTGGAATTGGGTACAGGGATGGAGTGGTGACAGTTAGTCCCATACTGCTGTTTGTGCACTGTGTGCTAGGAAAGCAACAACAAGATATTTTTCACCCAGAATTTCCAGAACATGTTTATAGAGGTATATATGTAGTAAATTTGGAATGAGGGGACACAAACAGAATGTAAAAGAGTAACTGAAGAGATTAATAATACAGAGAGCTTCCATTAAAACCTCTCAGTTACCACAACCCAAGTAGCTTTTCATACATATTTGTAGTTCTTCTCTTTAAGTCCAGAATCTGGTCATAAACTCCAAATTTTCTTCTTAAAGGTATAAGATAAAGTTTTCTAACAATGCTATGGAGTCTTATTTAGCAGAACTTACGTTGTCATTTATCTACATAGTTTTACTCAGAATTTACCTGTAAGAAAAATGAAGCTGTACGTCTGCCTGTCATTTTATGTCATTCTGTCACTTGTGCAGCTGTCATTGTATGCTGCAGTTCTAGGCACTGGGGGGTCATTTCAGTTGTTTCAAGTCGGTAATTGATGGTAAGTAGCAATTACAGCAAGCAAAAATTTGAATCTAAAACTTACTTCATTATCAAAATCTGTGACAAGTCTGACAGTATGCGAACATACGTGATGCTCTTAAAGTAAATTAGTAACATGTATCCTAGAACTATATAAAGAAATTAATTGCTTACTGCTTTGTACCAGACACCAATTTAGCATTCATATTAACGTGTTGCCTGTATCATTTAAACTCAAAATTTGGGTTTCCTTGTCACTAGGTTAGTTGTAGAGGAATCCTTACATATGATTTGTGATGAAAACACTAAACATTGTGAAAAGATAAAACTGAGCATTCATATTTACTGAACTACTTAGCCCTTAAATGATATTTTTAAATTTTGCTGCTGCAAAGTGTGTCAGGCTCCTAAGTGTGTTTGCATACACAGATATTGTTTTTTTTCCTATGATTCAGGAATTGTAGAACTAATTTTTGACTGAAATTAACTCTTAGCTATTCCTCAGAATAATCTGAAAGCTTCTGTGTATTTGTAGCTAGATAAGTCTGTGCTAGAAGCTCTGCCGCCTGATCTCCGAGAACAAGTAGAGCAAATATACACCATTCAGCAAGGAGAGAGTTACGGAGATACCAAGAAAGAGCCAATAAATGGATGTACCACTGCACTTCTGTCACAGCCAGTTGGAACAGTGCTTTTACAAATACCAGAGCTCCAAGAACCAAATACCAATATGGGAATTAATGTAATAGCCTTGCCAGCTTTCTCACAGGTAGGATGTTTGCGGGGTTTCAATAAAAGTCAATTTTCCACCTGTAAGAAGAGTGAACATTTTTTTCTTGAGACAGCATTACTAGAATCTGTGACTTCTCCAAATTATTTTTCATCCTTTAATAGCTTTTAAAAGTCTGCTTTCAAATGTTACTTGATCTGTCACAAACATAGTGTGACAGTATTTATTGAAGAATTATAGTCATCAGTTTGCCTATGTTTTTACTGTTGTTTAATGTAAAGCCTCCTCATTTACACTTCGCTTTGCAATCCACTGTGTGAATGGCCTTTTTTCTGCATTACAGCTGAGTTACACTGCACCATAGGTCTGAAGCAGCCCTAAAACCTGCTTAGATAGTCACAGGAGACTCACTCTGTTTAAGTGGATGTTTTGATGGTGTACAGCCAGTCTCTGCTAGCTTCTGTAGATGTGATTGTTTGTATCACATTCCTGGGAGACAGGCAGGCACGGCTAAAGACAGCGCATATCTCCATAATTTTTAAATGAGCTCATATACAGCGTGTCCAGAATGAGGGGAGTGCAAAGTTGTTTCTCAAAATAGGGGCCTGAAGGGGGAGCAGGTGGCAGTAATGATGCTTCTAATGATATTCCACCTTTCAGTCCAAGATGGTGCTGAACAAATGTAGGGTAAAAAAAAATAAAAAATGAAAGATTGTGTTACCCAGACATGTAATATCTTGCATGTGCATCGTTTAAAATAGAGCTGTATTTTTTTTTGTTTGCTGTGCCATTGCTCCATTGCTGTTCTCAAACAAAGTGGTATCAGATTTATAGAGAGATACTTGTTGCTGTTTCTAAGGCATAATGCTGCTTAGCTGACAAAAGAATCCAGAGAAAATTAGATAGAAATTCCTAATCTGTTTTCAGTACATAGTAGTTAGTGCATAATTATTACTTAGAAGATGTGTAGTCTACTACTACATCTGTGACTAAAATTTCTTCACCTTGGTTCAAAAACAGTCGTGCCAGTTTTTATTCCTGAACTGCAGATCTGGGTTTTCCCTATGGAGATACTCTGTGAACAGTAGATGAACTCTCCATACCCCAGACATTTTAAATTATGCAGTAACATTCATTCATAGGCAAGAGTTTACCTTGGGCTTGTGTGTTAAATTAGGCTGTGCTTTAAAGTACACCCCTCCACACTTGTTCTACCACTCAGTACTCTTTCAGGTAAATTTTAACTGCATATGGCTTTCTGTAGAAATTACATTTAGTTCATGTTTATGCTTTATCTATTTGTAAAGTCGGTAGTTGAGAATTGATTGTTGGTTTTTTATAACAGCATTAGTTCTTGAAATTGTCTTAGAAACACCTAATTCACACACTCAAATGCACTGGTTTTCCTGTCTCTATCTCCTAATGTATTTTGTGACTTTGTTACTTGATCCAAAAATGCTGGCTTAGCAGAGCAACCTTTTTGTTTGAAGATGTTGTTCAAGAAGAATTGTCTATTTCCTCCTTATTTGTCGGAGATATCCATACTACCTATTTTAGAATGCCTTATGTTTGTGCTCCAGATTTTCTCCTGAAAGCCATTCAGCTTTCTTTATGGGCAAAAGAAAACTAAGATGTACTAAGATTTTTCTGAGTTAGGTCCAAGTTTAATACCTACAATAATATGGTTGAATCGTGTCATTGGGCTTGGTGGAAAAAAAATGCTAAAACTCGTTCATTAATATGGAAGAATTTTTTTCTGTCTTAAAATCAAACATGAACTTAATTTAAAAATACCATGTTTGTCTAAGAATAGTTTGACACCATTTTTTTTTATTGTTAAAGTCTTTGTGGTAGTGTGTATTGTATGAGTGCACGCAAACATGTAAGATTGCTTTCTTTCAAATGATGCAGTAAACTAAGTAGCAGTAGGTTTGAGGTATAAAAATACTACAAGCCACTGCAAAATGAGTACATTAGCTACATCAACTCAGCAAATGTAAATGATGCCTTGCCATCTTTTTATAGCTTAATTAGGTTTGTGTTTCAACCCTTCCTTCCTTTTGTCTGAACTGTGTTTATATGAGCAGGCGCCAAGTTAATTGGCTGATAGTGATTTATTAATTAGAAAACATGTGGAAAATGCCCTTTCTTGGGTAAGGTTCTCCCATAAAAAGAATCAAGATAGGCTGCATTCATTTCCGTCAGCTGCTGAAACGATCTAAAAATTTAGAAGAGCTGTGTATCCCTGTTGCAGCTGAGTCCTGTGAAGGCATTGGGTGCAAGCAGTGAAGGTTGCGGGTGCTTAGGAATGAATGACATTTGTAGTAGTGCAGTTATTTAGCCACTGGTGCCAAATTTGCACTTCGTCCTTATATTGTCGTAACATGGTATAGGTTCCTTGTAATGCAATTTATACAGCACATCAGAAATACTGATAGCTGTATGCTGAGGTAATACATGAATTTATAAAATCAAGGTTCTCCATAATGTGAATGTGATGCAGCCGTGTGAAAGCTCTGTTAGGACACTCTGGCTGTACAGTAGATTACCTGAAACTCCAGTTAATTAGTGTAGTATTCATATGAACTTGACTGATGGCTCTTCTGGCTGAATTTTTACATATTACACTTTCAGAGGGCAATGGTAGGGGGAATAAAACATGTCCAGTTCCCTGTACAGCATTATTTCTGCATGAATTATTAAGCGGTGTACACAGAAACCAGTGTTAATTCAGAGCCTCCCAAATTCCTGACTCTCGAATGCTTAACCAGAGAACACTAACCTTTTTAAAATAGTTTTATTAAACAAAATTTATATTTAAAAAAATACCTTAAGCCTCCAGACTTAATTGGCTACATTCCGCTACAGTGCTTTGTCCTGCACAGTGTATGCAGTGATTGAGGTCAGAGTTGTTCCCATTTCCTCCTTTAATTAGTGCAGATTTTGTGTGGTGAAAAATTTGTGTTGGCACATGGGGTTCTAAAAATGGGGAAAATGTTGTGCTAAATTGATGAGTTTTACCTGTGGGAGCATGTTCATGTTTATTATCTATAAAGTTTAGACATCATATGTGTGAATAGCACAGTCTACCCTCCTGACGTAAGATACATATTTTAGTTTAAAAAAAGATCAAATTTCTATTGAAAATAAGAGGTAACTTTTAATATATATGCATACTGATGTGTAATAAATACAGTATCTCAGATAATGGTAGAAATTGTATTGTGTCCTTAGAATAGTAGTAGTAGTTTCGAATACTTTTTTTTTTTGTTTGTGCACATCTCTGAATTTTACCACTGAAATGAAGGGCACTCTCCCACTGGGCAGATTTAATCCTCTAAATGATAGGTTTGCTTTTTTTGAATTAGATTTTGCAGATTATGAGCTGAAAACACTGTCCAATAATATTGGGAAACTCGGAATACAAGGCTAGTCTGACACTAATTTGCTAGTTCAGATACACAGGGAGGGAAGATAACTGATAATACATGAAATTTTATTTTGTCCATATGAGTGTGTATGGCAACTGGCAACAAATTGTTTCCTGTCTAGAATTCAAGCTCCTGAGATAGTTGGAAGGGGCTGCGGTTTTTTGTCAGTCGAACAAGGGGTGGACAACTGTGGGAGAAAGCAATGACACCCTTTTGTGCTAGTTCAAAATATGAGGTAGCTGGACTTGCATTTCCTGTGCTTAAAGATGTGAGACTATTCCCAAGGATACTTTGTTTGGGGAGTGTAGCAGCTCCCAGGCAATAGAAGTACCAAAAGAAAAGGAGGAATGGAAGTCTGATTGTCACATTGTTTGAGTCTGGAAATTTGAAGGGAGTGTTCTCTGAGTTAGGCTTAGTTGTGCTGTGAATATAGCTGTACTGTATATCAGTAGAAGAATAAAGATAGTGGTGAATAAAGATGGTTAGTGTATTATAGGCCCATAAATAGTAATTTTGTAAAATAATAAATGTAGAGTAATATTAAATGGAAAAAAATACAGTTTTTACAAGCTAAAGTACATGAAGAAAATGTACAACATATTTCAGTGTTTCAGTTATATCTCATTTATTTTTGCTTGGCATAAAATGTAGACACCTTTGTCATGTGAGTGATCTAGAGGAAAGCAAGCAGTGTTGCTCACTGGTAAAATAATCAACTGAATCTTTTGTTACTGTTCAGGTGGACCCTGAAGTTTTTGCTGCACTACCTGCTGAGTTGCAAGCAGAGCTGAAAGATGCATATGATCAAAGGCAAAAGCAATCAGAGCAGCAACCTGCTAACGCTTTTGGTGAGTATGTATAGTCGTACAGTAGTTTTGTATAGGAGTTGTTTACTATTCAGAGGGAGTTATGCAACCCTAAATAACAAACTGGCAAATACAACTAAAGCTTCTGTGAAGATGCTGTGTTAAATTGAATTTCTGTATTTATTTTTGACAGACTGTCAGTTACAGCCAGCTGTGGTCTCATTTTGCAAACAGATGCCTAGCTTTACTTAAATGGGTAATTAATTCAATTCATGAGGACTGTGGCACTAAACTTACCCACGTCCATATGTTTGCAGAATGGAATTTAAACTTGATATGTCTTGCGATTTAAAGTATTTCATGTTCAGTACCTAAGTTGGTTAAACTATGTTCAGATAGTATTCTCCTGGTTCCCTGAAACCCATAGCACTGGTGTGGGTTTCAGACAACTAGAGATATGATACATCTCACCATATGTCTGTTAGTCAGATGGTTTTACTCTGAGCTGATCACCCAGGTCTCCTTTTTATAATCAGGATAAAGAAATAAGATTAATTCCCTGTGAACATGCTTTCTCATAAAATAGGTTGTAAATGTCATTGGGTTCATTGCCAGTTAAATACTGCATCATTATAATCAAACTTTGATTTCATAGTCAGTGGACTAAGGCAGATACGTTAGTATGATGGAATGAGAGGCATTTCCATGGTCAACTATAATAAAAGCAGTTCTGGGGCCTTTTCACTGCTGGTTTTGCTGATAAGCACTGGTGGGAACTCTTAGCGGGTATCTAGGTGGGACAGTGCTCTGACTGAGGCAAAGCCATTTGTCTGGTAGGCTTCAGATTTCACCAGCTGCCTGTATTCAAGCACTGAAATGCTTGATGCTAAAAGGCTTCTGAATAGTTGAGTATCCTCTGAATACACTGATGTCTGGCGTTGCCTGGATCTGGGATGGCATGTGAGTGTTAAAGGCACTTTATCTAGGTTATGTTTTCCCAATTGATCCATTGGTTTTTCTGAAAGATACAGAGTTCCCCTTTCAATGGAGAAGTATTCCATTTTACATGTGTCAGCTATTGACTATTTCTGTGTTTTTCAGTGTCAAAAAATCCTTTCCTACACCTGAAGCATGCAACAAGGAAAAATAAGAAAAAAATCAGGAAAAAAAATCCAGTCAGTCCTGGAAAAAAGATTCAGAGTCCTTTGAAAAGCAGACACGTTGGTAGCCCTGCAAAAAACATGCCGGCTACATCTGGAAGCCCACAGAAGCTAATAGATGGTTTCTTGAAACAAGAAGGAACAGCTGCTCAGGTAATTTTAACACTAACAGCTTTCGGTAAAGCTGTGTCTGTTGCTTTAGACTTAGTCCATGTTCACAAATGCAGCTTGTTTTCTTTACTGGATTCTTTACTAGATGCCTGTTTATGTGTATATATGTGGTGTTACCATATTTGTCAGACTGAGCGTTATCAACTTCTGTGTTTGGAACAGCCAGAAGCAATTCCATCAACTTCAGATTCTTCAGACCCGTCAGCTCTGCAGACTGAGCAACAGCCTGGTTCATTTAGGCCACAAGCACCCAACCTAGCTGGAGCTGTTGAATTCAATGATGTAAAGACATTGTTGAAAGAATGGATTACAACTATTTCAGGTACGGGATGTCATGCCAGTGGTGATCTTGCATGCATCAGAAGAAAAACTATTTTTTTAGTAGGTTTTTTGTGCTTTCTTCCTTCACTCTTCCTTTCACTGTTTATTTTTCACAGTAATCTCATCTCAAAGTCTTACTGCCTTGCAATCTTGAAGTAACTTGATTCTTCCTACTCAGTTTTATTCTATGTTTTTGCCAGCTCCTGTTTCTTGCTTAACACAATGCAAATCTACCTGCTTTCTCTTCAACCCATTTGTCAGGCCCTTCTCTAATGCCTTGATGTTACTTGTGTGGGAGGTTTTCCTTATTTTGTCCAACATGTTACAGCCACTAGGATGTAAGCTATTGAAAGGGTATTCCTCTTTTATGAAGATGTCGTTTTAGAGGCAAAAGAATGCAGTTTTTTTCAAAACACGTGCTGGAAAGAATTCTAGAATAAAGTGCAAAAGTGTTAACACCGTTGCTAAATTCCGATTTGAATTTTAACTTTATGTCACACTATCAGCAGCACCTTAATATCTTGGGAAATCTGATCTGCAAGATCCTTCATACCCTGGACATTGCTATTCTCAAAAGTTTCAAAACAGCCATTCCATTCTAAATGGCCATTTCTTTTCCCTTTGGTTAGCATGAGCGTGGCTGTCATTTGTTCTTACTGAAGAAAAAGAAGTCTATGAGACAGTTATTTCAGGACCTTGCAGTCCTTTTGTGTACACAACTTCTGATGTGGGGGGAGGTATGGGAATCCAGCAATTGTCAGATCAGCCCCTGCTGTGCTAACACTGCAGAATTTCTTTCTATTATATTCCAATTATTTGATTATTATATTCTAAGTATACTTAGAGAAAAGTTATCTTCCTTTTTTGTTTTTTTATTACAGATCCTATGGAAGAAGACATTCTACAGGTTGTGAAGTATTGTACTGATCTGATAGAAGAAAAAGATTTGGAAAAGTTAGACCTGGTTGTTAAGTACATGAAAAGGTAGCTTAATTGCTAGTATTTGTGACATTTAGACTTTTTTTGTTAGAAATTATGCACCAGACGCTTCAGTGTGAGGCCACAAGCCCATTTGACGTTCCATTGAGGAGTGTAAATATTCTAAGCTTAAATTTTATTCAAAAACTGAGAGGGGTGAAGAAGTTGGCTGTTAAAATGGGTTTTTAAAATAGGTAATTTGTGAAATATCAAGAGTAGCATTTAATAATATTTGATGCAAAATCTTTTGTTTCTATACAAAGGATAATAGTTGTTGTCAGTGTTGTCCCTTTTCTTCATCCTGTTTCCATTCATTTTTCGTGGCAGTTTAGATCTTTCCTTTGTTTCATCTGATTTCATTCTCCCACGGTATCCAGATCCTGTCTCACCTCCAATGTATTAAATCCATTTTTATTACTTCCTTACTGTGCTGCTATTACTCTTCCCATGAGTCAGGAGACCCAAGTTCCATTTATGACTTGCTTACTAATACTTAACTATGGAGCTCAGCTTTCCTTGTCTTAGATCTGGAAAATACTTATTTCACAGAATTAATCAACACCAGAAAGCCTACAGCAATGTAAAAACTTCACTATGCTTTTGTATTATGGGATGCCTTTAGGCCTCAGAAAATGCAAAATGCACAGTGCAGGTAGTTAACTGTTTTGTTGAAGGCTGTACAGTAAATTCTTTATAAAACTCCTCAGAAAGTGTCACGTCCCACTCCTGGTCCCTGTATGTGGGGTTTGCACGGATGGCAGCGTGTCTCTCCAAAGCCTGGTAACAAGTGTAGGACAAGGAATCAGGAGTTGTATGTCCATGTGATACTGACGTTGGGTGTTCTGAAACTGTGTGTGTAGGAACCCTCTGCCTTCCTGTAGTAGTGATCTAGAAAGGGATTTTGAGAGTTTTTCTTGGGCATTTCCTTTATTTGCTTCTAGTAGCAGCATAGATAGAAGTAACTCACAGGTCAGTCCCTGTGGGCCTCCATGATTTGGTTCCCTTTTTAGCAAGAAATACAATATAGTGCCCCCAAAACCTACTATTTAAATGTCTTAATCACCCTTGGCATTCACTGGAATTAAAAAGGAGTTTGTATGTCTTGGGATGAGGAAGGAAAGGTCAGGATCCAGAAGCTTGCCATTTCTCATCCTTTGGTATGAAGTTGGTAGGAAGTCACCGCTTCGATCACAGGCTCCCAACCACTGCAAAACACTAACGTTTTCAAGCTGGTGCGATGCTGTTCACATCAGCAATTTCACCACTGAATGGCAGAGGAATCTGTGGCATGAGGGAAGACTTGGTCTGTTTGAAGAGACGGGGCTTTACCAAGATCAAATCAAAATACCATTCATAGTGAACTGTTGTGATCCTGCTTTCCAGTACGAAGACCAAAACTTGCTATAAAAAGGACTGATTCTGTGATGGTAATTTTCTCCCTGTTTTTCCTTTTTCCCTTCAGGTTAATGCAGTCATCTGTGGAATCGGTTTGGAATATGGCATTTGACTTCATTCTTGACAATGTTCAGGTAGTTTTACAACAAACTTATGGAAGCACATTAAAAGTTATCTGAATTTGTAGTAAAGAGCTTGGTGAGAGCCTGGAGCTCTCTGCTAGCTGTGCCATAAGTGCTTGTGAGGTATTTGCAAAGTGCATGATAGTAATGCCCTGAGTTTTTATAATTTCAAATTTCTTTTTAAACAACAAAGTGTTTTGTACATTTCTTTTCAGAAAGTGCCAAATTTGTCAGTATTGCATGTAAATAATTGTGTTAAAATTCTTTTATTGTAGTATAGAATCTATTTACAAAATGTTTGTTTATAAAGTTTTATGGATTTTTACAGTGAAGTGTTTACAGTTGTTTAATAAAGAACTGTATGTATATTTTTGTACTGATTCTATTTTGTGATGCTTCAGTTTGAATATAGCTTAACCCCTTCTCTTAAAGCCGCAGCTTTGATTCATTTCACAAAATCTACACGGTGACACTGCATCAGCATGCGTAGGAGACTGCTGTACGTCCACCTGCCTGCTTTTTGTTTCTTCTCCGCTGCCTTTATTACAGATTTTAAGCCAGGGGAAGAATATTGGCTCATTTTCTGTTTCATCCTTCAAAGACAGAAACCAGCGTGGCCCAGCTGCTCCCAAAGCACACACCGTGTCAGCTGAAGCGCAGTTGCTCTCTGAGCTCCGGGTGTAGGGCGTAGAGATGTGTGCTGCTGGAGGGAAACAAACGGAGCTCTGTGAACAGGTACCCAGGAGCAGCACTGTAAAGGAGCTGGGGAGTGGCTAGGATGGAGCGCTGTTTAAGCCTGAGTCAGTCCTCTGCCTTGCTCCTACTCAGGATACAGCCGTGTTCCGCTCTGAAAACACCATCATTCTCCCCAGCCTTTGACATGCAAGGTAACAAAGTAGGTTGTATTGAGTAGCAGAGGTGAAATGAATAGCCCTGTTTGTGTCTGCGACAGGGAGGGGTATGCTTGCATCTCCATGGTTTGTGTTTTGGGCAAGTCTGCTTTTACCAGATGCACACCAGGCTTGTATAGTCATGTTTGGCCCAATACATTGAGGTAAGGCTGTTCAGGTGCCTGGAAAGAACAGAGACCACTTGAAGAAAACCTGGGGGGCGAGGGGGGAGATGAGGTGTACCCCACATAATCCTGGATGGGTGTGGGTCCACCTGACTGTAGTAACTGAGAGCTGGAATGCAAACTGGAGGTAGCCCTGGAGCAGGATTTGCACCCCCAGCTTAGCTGGAAGCCCCTCCACTGCGCAGGGGAGGAGCTGCTGCACTCAGATTAGCTGCAGCTGACAGCACAGTGGGAGCAGGGAATGCTCTGCAGGCCCTTTGCTGGCTGCAGCACAGGTGACAGCAGTGACAGAGGGTTGTAGCTTTAGGTTGTGCCCTTGGCTTCCCTTGTAAAGCACAGGGGAGCGGTACCAACGTGGCAGCCTCCTGCAGCAAGGTGATGGATAAGGGCAGGGCAGCAGGTGTTGTTGCCATTGACTTTTAGTATCTATCTCCTGTAACATCTTACTCGACAAGCTGATGATGCATGGGCTTAGAGAGAGACGTGCACTGAAAACTCCCTGGGCAGGCGCCAGCCCTGGGCACAGTCATCAGTGGCACAAAGTCCTGTTAGAGGCCACACAGTCAGAAGCAGCTTCCATCCTGTTCAACATCTTCCTCGGTGACCTGGATGATGGGGCAGAGCACACCCTTTGCAAGTTTGCTGGTGACACAAGACTGGCTGATAGGGCAGAGGGCTGCGCCGCATCTAGAGACCACCAGGCTGGTGAGAACCTTGTGAAGTTCAGCAAGGAGAAGTGCAAAGTTGTGCACCCAGGGAGGAACCACCCCAGGCACTGGGGGCCAGCTGGCTCGAAAGCAGCTCTGCAGGTGCAGCCCTGTGGGTTGTGTGAGCCAGCAAGTCTCCCTGACAGCAAAGGCATCCAACAGCCTCCCAGGCTTCTTGAGGAAGAACGTCACCAGCAGGTCCATGGAGGAGATTGTTTCCCACTGCTTAGCACTGGTGAGACACACCTGGAGTGCTGGGTCCAGTTCTGGGCGCCTCAGTACCAGAGGGACACGGACATACAGAGCAACTCCAGTGCAGGGCCACAAAGTTGATTAAGGGAGGGAGTAGAGCTCCTCTCACAATACAAGGACATCCGATGGAGGAATGAGGAAGACAAAGACAGACACTCCGCTGTGGTATCATGTGAAAGGGCACAAGACAGTGCCTGGAACAGGCTGTCCACAGGAGTTGTGGATCCTCCAGCAGCGGAAATGCTCCAAACCCAACCTGCTCTGACTGAACACAGGAAGGGTGTTGGAGTTGCCAACTGCAAGAAGTCCCTCCCAACCTCAACCAGGCTGTGGTAAGATTGTTTTTTTCCCAGCTCAGGTTAGCTTGGTAGAGATCGGTCTAAATAACTGCATCTGGTTAAAGATGGGTATCTACAGAGAGAGGGGGACCTTGTCTGAATCAAGTTGTCTTGGTTTCCACCAGTTCCTAGTTTGGGTCCTTCAACGTCCCTTTAGTTGCTGCTTTTGAAGCTGCCTTTTTATTTTTCCCCTGATGTAAGAAAACTGCCCTGGTAACTGTTCACACAGAGCAATGCTGAAGTCTAAGCAAGTATTTTACCAGTTAGGTTTCAGGTACAGAGACAGCTCTGCTTTTGGGAGCTGCTGCTCAAGACATACTTGAAACTGGCACCTTTTTAAAAATACATAAATAAATAGAAGGACTCAAAGCATTGCTTAACCAAGTAAGGCTATTTGCAATTATATTTTAATTCTCCCCTCGTGATCCCTGCTTCAAGCCCTTCAATATTTTATTCAACAGTTACTTGCTTCCTTAAGAGTTTCACTCTAGTGAAGGTATTGTGGAAGTTCCACCACAGCAATCTGCAAAAACAGCACAGTCCTCTTCCCAGAGTTTTTACCTGTGGGAAGGACGCCCTTCCACAGTCAAGGAAACAATCAAGAATACATCAAGACCACAATGTTTGACATCTGGGTTCTTAAGAACTTCTTTTATTAGTGTAGTTTTCACGATTGCATAGTTTGCAAAAGAAAGTTATAACAATTAAATGCAGCCTCCTCACTGTGATCATTCTATTCTAAACCACCAACCCACCCAGTGCCCTGAATTTGTACCAATGGCAACCACATGGAAGTGTCCTTTTCAATGGCAAGTTTAAAGTCTAACAAGCCAGAAAAATTCCAGGTAAGTTAAATTCCATTGCCAAAGGAAGTGAGTTAGGAAATGTTCCTTTGTAATGGAGCCTGCACACTCCCAGTTACGCAATTGAGATTTTTCCAACAAAGGTAAGCCAAGTGACAGAAGAAATCTGATCAAATTTATTGCAAGTTCAGTTCTTGTAAATACTTTCAATGCTAAAAATCTCAGCTACACGAGATCACTATCGGTTTTGTTTCAGCTTGTGCTTTTGAGAAGTGTTTGTTGAGCTCCTCTCAACATGCGCTGTAAGGTAACCAGGAGACTACCCGATGGGGGATGTGTCAAGCTGTCATCCTAAAAGCAGGGAACCCCGGGGGAAGGAAAGGTGGGAAGATGCTGGGATTACAGACCGACTCCTGATCATCACAAACAACATCAACCCAATGCCTTCTGAGCTGGCTCAGTCCCACGCTGGCAGATGACTGAACAGCTCTGATGCAGCATCCAAAATCGCCGCTCACTTGCAGAAAAACATTTCACAGGTGCTTACCACAACTCTGAGCAGCAGCTGGAGAAGAGATGCCACCTCTGAACTCCTCCCAGCAGAGCCCCTCTGGGAGCTGTGACTTGCCAAACACCTGGCCTGCAACTCTGGCACTTCAGGAACAGGGTCTGTGACATGAGCCACCAAGATCACCACCACGCACAGCACATGCTCCACCAGAGGAAGTGAAGCCAGAGGAAGAAACACCTTTGCCAGAACAGGCCTCCATTGCTCTGCCACAGGCAGAGGTGTCTCCGCTTGGCACTTCCATATCTGTCACAGCTCATGAAGTGACACTTTATTGAAGCAAACTGTAAAACAAAGGGGCTACCGTGTCCATCTCTTTTATTTGCAGCTCTGCATTATAATGATTACAGGTCAGCTTTCATGAACTGTACAAGCAATAGAGGCGGCCAACTATGCTTTACATCATTGTTTCACACAAAGCAAATACAGAAATATCCAATTGCCTAATTTTCTATTTAAAAAAATGTCTATAGGCACAAAGCAGAAGAACGTTGGAAAAGAGAATCAAGGAAAGAGGTATGCATAAATAAAGACGTACTTCTTACATCAAAAATGTCCCAAGAATCACAAAGTCTGCAGAAGCTTGGTTAATCAAATACTGCAGTACTGATCTCATCAGTATAAAAGTGAAAGAGCTTTAGTTCTGTAATAAAAAT